AAATTATGGAATTGTCTAGTAAAATTTATTGATTTCAGTATACTTTAGTTGTTATTAATATAAGTTAAAAAAGCTAACTTCTTTATTGCATTTTTTAATTGATTAGCAATTTTTTTGGTTTTATCCAGTGTGCAAGCCACCAATGCACATGTCATATTTTGCACCCATACCTCATATTTGTATTTTACCACATTTTAAATTTATATGTATGCATGTATGTTATTTTTGATTGTAATATAATATTTGCTAAACTTTCTATCATGTTTTATGTATTTGTATATCATTTTTTATATCTCCCGTAATTTTCACATTATTTTACAGTCGACATCAAAAATAATGTTGCCTCTGTACTTTGACGTAATATACGTATAAGTATTTGTTAAAACAATACTCGCCTATTCTATAAACATAATTACTTGAAAAAAAGATACCTATTTGGCGTATTTAGGTATATCCACTAATTTACTTGCACTTCGAAGTAAAATTCATTTTCGAAATACAAGACGTTTTTGAAAATGAAAATGTCTAAGCACCTCTCGTATCCCAACGATCTCATAACTTATCGAAAAGGTAAAGACTAATGGTCGAGTAAATTTTGAACCTATTGAATTATGCTAGAACTGCTTTTTCTTAGTAAATTATGACAGTTAAAACTTAATTTTTTTTTTTAATTTCATTATCTCTTGGATGGTCTATTTAATCATTATCAATTTGTTATTCTCCTTTGTGGCTTTATAAAAATAATATTTTTACATATTTTTACTTTTAAATTATAATTGACAACGACAAATCATAGGCTATGCTAGTCTTTGCAGTATAACTTAATTCAAAATTGGTCGCAAATTTCCTTAATTAACCTAGCATAAGTCGTAATACAGATTATATCAGTGTAGGAGTAATCAGATCGGAAGTCATCGGATACAAGTTGAATCGGATATAAAATGCAAATATAATATATAAATATAAAATCCAATAGTTCACGTGATGACTCGAATCAAATGGTCTGTGGTACCTTTTAAAAAATGGCGGATAAGCAAAACGGATCATCGTTCATTAACTGAATCTTCGTTAAAAAAAATCTTAAATACTACAGAATATGAAAAAAAAGCTAGAAAACTTAAATTAAACGTCGAACGTTGTCGAGCGTATAGAAATCGCAAGAAAATTGCTAAAGTTTTATCAGTAACTACAATCGGTACTTCTTTTTCGACCTTGGAAAATTTTAAAGGACCATCAGAGACAACAGGAAATATAAATCAGGAAGGTAAGTAATAATACCTAATATGAATATGGTTAATAAATATTACCGTGACTTACCACTGGTGTATATATATTATGTACGGATATGGAAAACGTCTCGGAGAGCCAAGATAATAAAAATGATTTTCATAAGAAATAAGAAGTTTCTTATTCGCAGTATTTCAAAAATATTTTATGACAGGCCTCTGGACAGGCACACATGTCAAAGATATTAAAATTGAGGGGCTTAGAATCCTAATCCGGCGTCCGTTTGTCGTTCATCGTTCCGTCAAACCAGTAAAATTGAAATATTACTGTCATTTTTGAAATAAACCAATAAAACTGGTTAAAAACAACAAGAGACTACGCATGACGGATTTATATTTAAACCCATCCATAACTAACTTAAAAAATATTGGAAACTTTTTTAAGTAAAATAAATAGATTGGTATGGGATGTCATCAGACGATGACAAGAAAAGTCTGTCTTACCTGAGAAAAAAAAAAGAGTATACATGTATACATCGATAATCTAATCATACTGGTAGTTTCGACCTTTAAACCGATATTAATTATTATTACGTTTACTTTCTTATTTTTCAGAATTAATATTAAAAAATTATAGGTACATACCGTTAAAATCAGAAATTTTGTTTCAGATTTATATTTAATTAATAAAGTCCAATGCAAGAAACAACATAATGAAACCACCATCACTAAGTGTCAAGATTTTATATTTATGGTTATTACCATCGTAGAACTTTAGAAAAATAATAAAACCTTTTTGTGACCAAATTTTATTTTTTACATTAATTTTTATTAATGTAATTTATGTTTGCTGCTTACCGCCACGACCTTACATTGCATGGTTTCTGTAACCAAGAAATAAATATCACAGTTCAGTAGTAAACATTATAAGGGTGACCGTAAAGTATCCAATAAGTTCATTTAAAATTAAGGGGTGTGTAAAAAAAAGTTTTTTTCTTCGACAACCGCCAACTTGTGTCTGGTATTTTCAATACGCCTATGATGGTTGCGCATGTTGCAAAATCTGTGAATTTTTTTATTATATTAGACAAGGACAGTAATTGGTGGATGAAGTTAGGTTTTTAAAATGAACTAATACTTAAGAATAATAAGTAATCAAAATCTAAATGTATGACATAAAAAAAATAGTATCACTTGTTCTTTTGATTAAAAGCCATTGACATATTAATATCTATTAAATTACGCAAAATAAAAAAAGTTAAATAAGTACCTCAAACTAACGCAGTTCATGAACCTTGTTATATGCGCACATAATTCCGTAAATCAATCAAAGTTAATTAAATAAATATGTCAAGTGACACCATCACAAAATACTTGACAAGATATTAAAATATATAAAAATTTGTATATTTAAAATGATATCTAATAATTACATAATTAATTACGTAATTCGTCAACAGTAAGTAAATAGATTTGAAATGAGTTAATAAAAAATATGAAATCTGGCCTGATTATCCGGTGCAATTCCAGGCTTTGGCTCGTCCCTCTAGCTGGTGTGTGGATGTTAGGTGTGGGAGCTCATCCCCAATCTACCACAGCCTCGAACAGTCCCTGACAATACCACCAGCCATGTGGAAATCAAACATGGATCATAGATACAGGCTCTCGTACCTCAAACCACCAATCACGACATATAACTCGCCATGTGAACGGTAAAACCCTGGAAACGACACAACTTATGCACAAAATGCATTTTAGCAAATTTAGAACTTATCTCACGATGCTGAGGGTTTACTCAAAAATTAAATTCATGACAGGACAACCAAAACCACGTTTAGAAAATCTGTAAAGAGATAAGGTTGAACCAAAATAATAAAAATGTGATGAAGATCAAACTTACCACAAAAATACCCATGAAAACTTAAAATTGATTCCTTCCCCAAATGCCAGGAGCCATTAGGACTACATTCCAAAGGTTAATATGGTAAAAAGGTTGAAGCTTTTTCGGATGACTTCAGATAAGTATGTCGATGTTTAAGCCACGAAATCTGAATCAAAAATGGTGACTTCCGATAGTCAAAAAGATGCTCTAGTTCTGCGCCGACAGGGGCAAGTACGATCAACAGAGTATCCGAAATTAGTCAGAACTAATTCGGTAGGGTGTATGTTGGGTTGCCAATAGTATCGTTTTATTAAAACGTTACAGTCCAAGAAAACTCTTTTTTGGCATTGGCCCCAATGGTATTGATTCCAACTGGCAGAGTAGAGTATTGATTTTTTCGATACGTCAAGAAATATCGCTGATGTGTCACATTGAGTGGTCGAAGTTTTGCGTACTTACGAAATACATGTAAGAAATTGATACCATCTATTGGTCCCTCAGTAATCGTAAATACTTTTGGAAAATGATTTTTTGTATTCGGAATCTTCACACTAATAAATGACTGACAATCTTTAATAGCATCTACGGCTAAAAACGTGATTTCTTCCCTCCTACATGCTCCGAATACTCCAACGATTATGACAACTTTAGCTAACAGGAAGTCTTTGTCATCAGCTTTTATCATAAAGCGTTCTATTTTCAGTTTTGTAAATACTTTTGATTTCTTTGCCTGATATCCGGAAACTTTTCTTTTTAAAAATGCAATAAGGTTTGTGAATTTGCTAATATCTACGTTTCTGTTCAGGTATATCATGGTGCGGAGCATCAAATACATATTTACTCCACAGAGTTGACGGCTTTAAAGTAGTGGATAACTTCAGGAAATAGGCTAGCAATACCTTTTCTGTGAAATTCTCAACATATTTTTCTTTGACCCAGGTTTCAAAGTTGTAGGTGGTCTCGTATAAGATTTTCGACTTCTCGAGCACTAACGTAGATAGCGCAGTTTCAGCAGCTTGTTGAATATCCAAAGACTTGTCATTATCACTCATTTTTTCACAAAAGTGTTTCACATTTCTTTGTAGGAAATACGGCAACGTTTGAACCTGTCAGAACTTTGTCATTAAACAATGCATAAACAATGCTTCAGAAACCGATTACCAGAACATTTTAAAAAATGTTTAAAAAGAAATAATAATAATAGCATGAAAATCTCAAATTATCCGCTTTCACAAAAAATCTTGTATGAAATTCGTTGCGAAAAGAGTGTTTTAAGCACTCGACGGATTGTCCAACTCGGCTTTCGCCTCGTTGGACAATTTTGCGTCCCGTGCTTAAGACACATTCATTTCGCATCTTGTTACATAAATAGCTATTTCTTTATGAAGAAAAATAAAACGCATTGTATATACAGGGTTGTTCACCACATACGACACGGAGTATTGTAGCTAAACGATGAGATTTTTACAAATTATAAGTTTGGGGTTCGTTGAAGGACTATTAGAGCTACAATTTAAAAATATTTTTACAAGATACAGAGTGTCCCAAATAAATAAAAAATTTCAAAATTGTATTTTTTTAAATGGGACACCCTGTATATTATTACATTTTTAGTTTCTACGATTAAAATAAAGGTAAATTTGATTAAGGTTTATTATACTTAGAATACCATTACTATTTTTCCTGCTTACAAATTCTTGATTACAGTTGGGTTTGTAACTTGAAAATAATACCGCATGATCAAAAAAAAAAAAACGGCGTTCGGTTGGCTTAGAAATAAACATCGATGACATCCCTCATATAATTTTACATATAACATAAAATGAAATTTTGATTTTAAACATATAAACATTTTAAAAGACAATAAAATAATACTAATTTTTATTGTTCAGAAAGCCGATCTTGCAGTTTGTGACTTAACCATCACATATGAGAGAAGACGTGCTGTCGATTTCACAATGCCATTTATGACTCTGGGTAAGTTCAGATACATTTTAGGTAAGTTCGGATACATGTTTATTTTTATTGAAAGAAGAAACAATACAAATATTAATACAGATCAATTGCACTTTATAAAAAACCTTAAATTTAAGTGCAAAACCACTTGTATATTCATAATAGATTATGTAATATCAAATTTAAATTAATAACTTCAATATTGGCGGCATCTAAATCGTTCCCACAGCAATAAATGGAGTGGACAAATGAAGACTACACGGGAAAAACCAAATATGTCACATTTTCATAGAACTTAAGATAGCGACGTTGAGCGATACAACTTTATGGACATGTGGATGGAAAATGTTAACGTCATTCGAAGAAAAAGAAAGCAATAATACGCTAAGTCCCAGAGATATTACAGCTTGCTTATTTTGCCGTACAAAGGAAAAACCAGAGTAGTCCACGCTTAAATGGCAAAAACCAGAGATGTACTGACAATATAGTAATAAAAGAACTTAAAAAGAGAAAAGAACCACTAGCAACGACAATTTCGGGACGACCGGTATCCATCGATGCGACTATACTGTTTACTTACCAAGGATTTAAACAATGTTTGTGCTGGCGTACTTGTTGAAATTGATACGTCGTGTGAGCGCCACACTTGCCGATGTTGTTTACAAAGTGCGGACTGGTGGGGATACTTGCCAAGTACGCAAATATTGGCGTACTTGCCAAGTAGACCAGTCGTGAGAGTGCGCCTTTACCCAAGTAGCAAATTTTATTTTATAAAGGCTGTGTAAACAGCTATGTGATCATTTTTATAGGTTACGTTCAATTCATATAATCAAAGTAATATGATGCTTTACAACCAAAAAGGCCCATATTTTTTATACAACCGTTTAGTAGTATAGAAGTTCTTTGAAAAGGGTATACAACTCTTATGCAACTATTTTAAACAGCGTTATATAACTATTATAAAAACTAGTGTTGTGTATTATGTGGTTACATCTAAGAAACAGAACAATAAAAACATTTGATCATTTAGCGAGGTAAAAGAGAATTTATTTTTTACCGAAGAATATTAGGAACAAATTATATTTTAAGCGTGTCGTAAAACGTATCTAGAGGATTTGGATTGTTAAAAAGGAGAATTTACTCGAATATAATAAAAACAAATAAAAAAAAACCAAATAAAAAATTATTAATAGGGTTTGAAAACTAGGGACAATTTTTATTGCGCCGAAAATTTTACTGTAGATTATAGTGGCTGTATTTCGGCGAATTAAAAGCGCTTAATTTCGATTACATATATTAGATGTATAAATTTGAACAATAAAATAAAATAAAATTTTCAAAAATTTTGTTTCAATCAGAATTAAACAGTTTATTTACTGTTGGTGGGAATCTTATCACAAAAATAGTTCTCAAAAACATTTGCTACCTGATTGATGTTTTTAATTTTGTTTATATATTTGCTAAGTATACACAAAAAACACACTTGATATTTTAAAATGTCAAAAAAAAAAACAATAAATATATTTTATTATAGAGTTATTTATTATGTCAATACTTAAATAAAAATAAAATTATTGTAAAATAAAACGGTATAGGATAAATATCATTACGCAGAATTTCCATGCACTATAGAACTATTTTTTGATATTTTGATGTTTTTTTTTTTTTTTTTTTTTTTTTTTTTTTTATTTTCATTATTTTAAACTAACAAACATGATCAGGTTTTCATGAGTTCATGCACGCAATGCATTTCATGCATGCCTGACGAGTGAGCGGCAACCCAAGGACTTGGAAACCACAATAAAACAATACAAACACTACTACAGTAAAACTTTTACATCAACGTGGCAACAATGCTTTTAAGAAGCCAGACAAACCGAGAGATTTTGGCTTTTTGGAACCCAGGGAATTCTCGGGATTATTTGCCGTAATTTCGATGAGTTTTTCTCTACATGCTCTTATAACTACCACTGCGTTTTGTTAACTTTTTCCAACTTTGTCCAGAACTCATAATAGCTGTACCGGATTATACTGCAGATGTTATTACTTTTGCAATAATAAATGAAAAAGCAAATAACTAGGTATATAATTATTATATTTAAATGAGGTTATATTATAATATTCTAAAGCAGGAGGAATGCAGTTAATTACAGCTAATTTTATTTTGTTAACTAAATTTTATCATATAGGGCTATATAACTAGTGTTGTATACAGCACCGTAGTTTAACGCAGTAAAACATTCTATCATACAACGTAATACAACGTTAATAAGACATCATTTAAGCAGTAACTATTATATGATCTTGTGACTACTTGTTATATGAATATTATAGAACTCTTACATGGTGGATATAAGAGTCTAATGTTAAATATGTTTGTTATCATATAGCATTGTCTTATTAAGTATTATATCATACTAAAAGAAATTATCGTTTAATACGTTATAGGATACGTTGTAAAACCACTAGAAAATAGTTTAATGTGACAACTTTTATTAAAAACAGAATGGTCGAAACCAAACGCTTAATAAAATCAAGCAGTCTTTAAGACAACGCTATTCCACTGTTATAAAGACCATCCCTTGAGAACTTCTTTGTGTTATACTGCAAAGTAACGCATTTTGTATAGTAAGGTTTCGTCCATATTATTTGTCTTAGCTCAAAGCGATAAAAAATCGGGCATTTACTTTAATATAGTAAATCCGCCAAATGTTTTACAAGAAAATAGCATTTCTAATATTCCTATAAAACTCTACTTGCATGCTACAGAATTTTCATGTAACTTGAATAAAAATACACAGGAATGCGACGTTCTCATATGAATAAACTTTTAGTGACCATTTAATTTAACTTTGTAAAGTACTGTTTAAACTTTCCTGCCTGTGTTTGTAAAAAAACAAGCTGTTTCCGACTAACACAAAATTTAAATTGTTCATAGTTTTGTTTTAAGTTTTAAATTTATTCTCTACAAATTTATATGTAGGTAGAAGGCGATTTGAAAACTATTTTCAGAATCTAATAAAAAACGTAGTATTTCTTACAGCAATAGGAAACTATTTTGAATTTGCCAAAGTGCTTTTAATTGTTTGCGATAAATAGCTAAAAGTGCCCATTAAAATATTACATATTATAATAATTACATTTGACTACAAATAATAATAATTTGTTTTTTTTTTTTTTTTTTTTTTATTACTTTTATTTCAGGCATAAGTGTGCTCTATGCCAAAGCTGTCAAGGAACCTCCAGAATTATTAGCATTTGCCCATCCACTCACCTTAAATATATGGCTCTATATGGCAACATCATACTTGGTCATCTCTATGATTATATTTTTGGTAGCCAGGCAAGTAAAAATCAATAAGGTATTTAATTTTCTATGGAAACATTGTGTGTGACACAATAAATCTGTGGCACAATTATTCAGCAATCTTGATCATCTTCATTTTCTAAATTGATGATCAAACTGAAGAGATCATTGTGGTCAAAATATACCTCATATTGATACTATAGACGTATTAGACATCGGGCGTTGGAAACATAGGAAGTCCTATGCAAATTTTGAACTGCCCAGACATTGGCTCCCCTATTTATTTTACAGTGAAGTCGTAAGTGTATGGCTGAATACACCTGCCAAATTTTAACAATTTGACCAGCCGATTAAGTAATTTAAGAAAAAAAAAAACTATTTATTTTAATTAAAACTGGACAGGTAACAATATAGGTTTGTTCCAACCCTAAGTTTTAGAACGGTTCTGGAACCGTTCTGAAATCATTGGGACTAGTCTTATCCGCATGCGTTAACTCGACACTGTTTTTGAACGATTCTAGATTGACAATCGGTTGGAACAGTTTCGAAACCGTTTTTAATCTGTCTTGTAAAAACACCGGTTAAAATAACATCACTTTTTGTTTGATGTACGATGTAAATAAAACAAACCTTAATAATATTCTTCACAGATATTCATATTAATTGTATAGAGCAGTGGAAACTGTAAAAAGTGTGGTAAATTACTACTCATTAATAAATAATGACAAAACCATAATTCCTAAAATTTCACTTGGTTTACTATTCGTTTTTTTTTGTTTAAAGTGTGAATTGCAAAATTTTAAACCCTAGCTAAATTTTTCATCTCACCGAGGTAATTTTTATATTTAGTTCTTGATTGATAAAGTTGTTCCAAATCATCTTCACTCGACTGCCCTTCTGTGAAAATATCACAGTCTTCGTCACTACTCATGACGTCTTATGGTCTTATCAAAATGTTTATATGCTAATTAATTAACAATTTCTAAGTATAGAAAGAATTCTAAACACTAAAACCCATTAAACTCCAAACAAATCCACAAAACAAAACAAGCTGGAACCGCCTGCCCACCTAAAGATAATCATCATCAGTTGATAACTTACTATCTGCGAAGGTGTCAGTACAAATTAGCCCCAACTTACTGGCAAGTTATCGAAATTACGGTTCCGTTCTAATAACGATCAGAAAATTGGTTGGAACGCAACGAGAATCGTTCGAGAACGATTCCCATCAAGGTTGGAACGCTTTTAGCCCTATGCGCATGAACAGAACCGTTCCTGAACGGTTCTCAGCGGGTTGGAACAAACCTTTATTTTTTTTAAATTAAAACTGAATACCTCAAGTTGCCATCCTATAATTTTTTGACATCAAATTGTATTTAAACGTTAGAAGCTTGCAGCCTCATTTGAACCCAGTTTTAAATCATAAAAAATACATTTTTTTTATCATACTGTACTGTAGGTACTATAACGTAGTATATACAGAACAACAAATTACATTTGAGAATGATAAAATCATAGGTTGTCAACTTCAGGAATGTTGACATTTGACTGGTTTTGTATTGTTGTGTGATATTTTCGAAAGTCAATAAGTCGGAAACGTTTGGTTTGAGGTACATTGTGTGTATCTCGATTTTTGCTTAGAATTGAAGGAAGAACCGAAATATGCGATAATATACAGGGGTTCCATTTAAAAAATGAAACTTTGATGTGCTACGACTTTATTACCGATACTGTAACTTTTATATTTAACTTTTTTTGCGGTACCTCTTACATTTTATCTAATAATCGATATGTATCAGCGACCTTGTATAAACATTTAACTATAATGAAAATAACACCATGCTCATGACCAAAGACTATCATAAATTAAAAATATAACAATTAGTAATTACTGAGAAGTATAAAGGTTGATTCTAACTATACCTTCCGTTTCATTCCATATCCGTTCCGTATGTTTTATTGTATGGACGCAAAAGTAAGCTTCCGTTCCATAACACTTCCATACTTTTATTGTACAATTTAAAAAAAAAAGTTTTATTTTAATAATTTGTATCTGTTGAAAAAGGCAATAATTTTAATTAAGAGGTGAAAGAATAAATAAGTATCAAAGCAAATTTTACCAGAGCTGGTATACAAATTAAGAACTTGACAACGCTATTTCCGATATGCTTCGGTACGTCGGCCAAAAAAATGCGTGGAAGGAAAGGATATGGAACGGAAGGAAAACGGAACGGATAGTGTACATTGTCCTATTCATTTACATGATATAATAATTTACGTAAACGGAAGGGAGCTGATATGGAAGGAATAGTGAGAACCAACCTTAATACGGTATAATATTACTGTTTTTTTATTTCAGATGAAAATTCACCGCGTTTCTTTAAAAAACTTTCATTAGGATTATTAATAATCATTTAAATATTACGTAAGTTTCAGTCATTAAAGTCGGAATTAAACAAGACGTTTGATTCTACCATTTAAGCTATTGGAAATAATGGCGGATGCCAACGGTTTATTTACTCCTATATATCTCTATCTATTTTATACAAACTAGACAAATGTAATTTGGCTGCGAAATACTATAAGCCGTAGACTTTTAGTCTTGCGCCATTCTTCGAGGCGTAAAAGTTTTTAATTTTGACATACAACTTAGTTCGTTCTTCAACCTCGTTCCAACTTTCAAAACAAACAAAACTTTATTTTCTCTAACTCGCCCAAAAATACAAACGAAACTTTAAACGACGACGAAGTGCAAACCACAGCCGCGAACTTTTGATAATGTAGTCTTTAGAAGAATGTAATCGTCTTAGATCATTAAGCTGTACTTGTTTAGCGTTGGTAAGATGCTCTCTGGAAGATTTATTGGTGTAGAGAAAATGGGCAAAGATAGAGGTGCCCCAACATGTTTAAGTATAATATTGGATTGTAATAAATCTCAATTTCCGTATATTAAGTAACAAAGCAATAGTTTGCCAATAATTTACACACTGTAGTTCCCTTATATTATATTGTAATCGACTGCAAGTATTACAAAACAGAGCATTAAGAATTGTATTGGGAGAAAATAAATATTGTATATTGTATATATTTATAGAGCAATGATTGCAACAGATATTTTATTTAGATTAAAGCTGCAAAGATTAGTTTAAACCGAATTTATTATCACTATGTTGGTCACATTGCGTCGTGTTTAGCAATGTTGCCCTTTATTATTTGAAAACAATTATCCTAGTGTCAGTCCTTATTTTGTATATTATCAAAGTTGTTGCTGAATCTTTTGTGAGTAATTATCGTTTGCCTATTTTCATTTGTCTTTTTTTTAAAATTGCATTTTACAATAAACAGTTCTTTAAGAACTAACTTTTCGAGTTTTTGTACTGTATTTTGGAAATTGTTTTGTTGAAAATATGCTTGAAGATTTAAACAAAGTTGAAGCCAAAAGCGAAGCCCTGTTTGTTTAACTATTTTGAACGAGAACGTGACAAAGGTCCTTTATTAACCTTGGACTGCAGTCAGAAAAGTAAGTTTGATTGATAATCATATTATACCATTTACAGTTAGTTTTTATTAAATTATGTGCTTATTTGTGCATTAAAAGCACCCTCTTACTTATTATTACCACTTATAGCGTTGTGGGATGCAGGGTGTCCCATTTTTGGTTGAAATCAGACGATATCTCCGCTATTAGTGAAGATAGAAGGGTGCGGCTTGCACAAACCTGTCTCACTTTTTTTGTCAAAACGGAAGATGCCGTAAATAAAATTTCATAGCCGTCTTCGTTTCCGAGCTACAGGGTCTTTTGAAAGTTTTGCAATTTGGGGCACCTCCTGTATCTCTGTTATTGTTAAAGCTATCGAGAAGGTAGAAATTATTGTAGAACTTTAACACAGTGGCGTAGTCTGTTTTCTACCAAAAAAAAATATTTTTGAAAATATTAACTAAAGTTATGTTTTTTAAATTGAACACCCTGTATATTTATAAATCATATGATCTGTCTTGCCATAAGCTTCTCAAAAATATATATCACTCTATATTTATTTTCTACTATTTACTGCAATATTTAAAGCTTTATTAAAACATCATATTTATTAGTAGGCCATGATTGATAATAAAAGAAACTAAAGAATGGCTAAAAAGTATACTGCTATCTGTCTTTGTTTTATTTTGGGAGCTGCTAATAAATTCTTTATATATTAGGGAAACTTAACTCTCTACCGCTATTTGTAAATCTTGTAATACGTGTATACGTAAGAATAACCTATCGTATCGGAAATTTTAGATATTCCTTTAGCTAATTTACGTGAAATATACTTTCAGCAAGATGGGGAACATTCCCCTCATAACTATGGAAATATTAGAATACTGTTAAATTATTATTTTTCAAATCAATGAATTGGAACCAATGAACATGATTAGCTTCTCCTTGGATCTCTTGATTTCGCCGTTCGATTTTCGATTTTGGGAATTTTTGGAAATACGAAATATAGGCAACTAAATGTTGAACACCTGAAAATGCTTTAATAATTCAAGATTTAGATATTTGCAAACCCATCACGTTATAAAAAAAGAAAATATATTCACAGTTTCAGTGGTAACAGTTATTTTAAAAGTAAAATATATCAATCCCAAATAACATTTTTATGTGTGTATGATCATTTTAGTAAATACCATTTTGATTTTTATAGTTTATCATGGCCTACTAATCAGAAAATGATATATTTAAATATTGGTAAATAAAGAAAATAAATATTATAGAGGATATATATTTTGAAGCTCATAGCAAGACAGATCACATGATTTATAAATATACAGGTGTTCCATTTGAAAACATAACTTTAGTTCATTAAAAATATTTTTTGGTAGAAAAACAGACTACGCCACTGTATTCCACGCAAAAAGTTCTACAATAAGAAGTTTTCGCCTTCTCGATACCTTTAACAATAATAGAGATACAGGGGTATCCCAAATTGCAAAAGGAAAAGACCCCAGTTCAGAAATGAAGGCTATGAAAATTTTGTTTGCAGCATCTTCCGTTT